GATAAAGTTTTGGAAGACTTTATAGGCACCAAGAGTCCAGACTCCAGAGGACATGACGAGTGAGTTAATTGCTCCAATTACAGATGAGGAGGGTTATGCTTTGGATACATTGAAATAAAAGTCCGGTCTTGATGGTTTTAATGCAAAGTTCTTCCAAGTTTGCTGCGGAATAGGTCGTAAACCAAGTATTTTTTTTAGTACGGGAGAATTGATTATTGTTTTCAATTCTACAACTCTGGGTTTGGTCCCTAAAGTCCCGAGTCCAATGAACTTGACTGACTTTCGGCCCATATCTTGCTGTACCATCATTTATAAGTGCATTTCAAAGATAATTACAAGGAAATTGAAGAAGACTCTTCCAGTGTTAATTACTAAGAATCAGGCTGCTTTTATGGAAAGTAGGGATATTGTGGAAAAGATATTGTTAGGTCAAGGGTTGGTCAGTGGTTATAGTCGGAGCACTTTGTCACCAAGGATAACTTTGAAAGTGAGCTTGAGGAAGGCTTTTGACTCCACCAGCTGGAGTTTCATTTTGCAGATTCTGAAGCTTCTTGATTTCCCTGTGATTCTTATTGCGTGGATAAGTAGGTGCATTGCAAGTCCTAAGTTTTATGTTGGCTTGGATGGGGCCTCATTAGTTATTTTCCTGGTGGGAAATTATTGTCACGAATGTGCACTCATGTCCTTTAAAACAAGGTGGCTGTCATAAGGTCTTTGGCTACCATCCCCAGTGGTGTTGATTTTTTTAAAACACCATTTCAGGGTTACAGATGAATAGCTCTAAAAGTGAGTCATTCAACTCAGGAGTAAATCAAACCGAGTTGGAAGCTATCATGTAGCAGACTGGTATTTCATTGGGGAATCTGCCCGTACAGAACATGAGAGGAGATGATTCGGTGGGTTATTGTCCATGGAAAAGGGAAGAGTGTTTAATCCACTATTATCGACTTGCTTGGAACTCTTTCGTTCATTTATTTATTTATCAAATGCCGACTTAAAACTTCAAATCATGGTTTTATCGGTACAAACCGACCTTTTAGTATTACAAGGAGGAAAGAAATATTATAATGGATGATTAAACAGTGAATATTAAATAAGAGCACTTTGTCGGCATGTTCTTTTGTCCTGCACAAAAGTTTCAATAAATTAATCCTAGTATCAGAAGCATTGACAGAGATTAATTATGATAATAAACACGTGAATCATTCTCATGCTTGAAGAAGATGAATTGTCTATTTGCAATTCATAAAATAAAATTATATTTTCCCCTTAAACCAACAATAATTAACCCCCCCAAAAAAAAGTGTGATTTGATATTACCAGGTCCCCCTACTCAATTACCAGGTCCCAGCTTCCTGAGCCGAGGGTGAGGGTCCCCAGTCCCCACAATTTGCACGCCTCCCTCTAGTTTATGATTTTCATTTATTCTTTCTCTTTTTTTTTTTTTTTTTTTTGTTTGAAACTAACCTTAAAATTATTATTATATTTATAAAAATCCCTGATTTCTCTCCGATTACAAAAAAAAAAAATCAAATTCATAAAAATCATAAAACCTAACTCTACCCCCTACGCTCTTTCCTAAATTCTTTTAGTCGTAAGTCGTCGATTGGTCGTCGAAATCGCATAATACAAAACGTATATCGGTCGCGATTTCATAAGTGTATTGATCGTTATGAGTAATTGAGGTTGGGTGATGCTTCGTTAACGACAAAAGGCGGCAACCGACATAAGTTGAGAGGTTAAAATGAAGATTTTCAGAGTTTTGGGACAATTTCAAAATTGTGTTTTTTAAAAATATATAATTTTAATTTTTTAATTTTAAATAAAAATTAAAATTATCGTAACGTGACACGTGTCACTTAACGGATAAAATTAAACGGTGTTTACAGTTCGAATACCTAAAATGATAATGTTAGATTATGAGATCAGTAAAAATTTAGTGTAAATACGTATTGTTGAAAAGCTTTATAGTTTGAGCAATTATCTTATAATTAAACGAATTTTTTAAGGGTTATAGCTTAATAGTAACATAATCGTGGATGGTGGGTGGGGTAAATTGGTTCAAAATTTTAGCTCAAGTTGGCAATTAGGGCAATACAATGTTTGGGTCACGTGGGTGATTTTCAACATAAACCGTTACCCAAATGAAGACCCTATGTGCAAAGCAAATCGAAAGTGAGAAATGATAAAACCTCCATTGGCGGAAAAAGTTGCTGGTTTTCTATGGAATCTGAAATAGGTGCCTTTCTTTTCTTCTGGGCGTACGTCTTGCTAATGCTTTTGTCTTTTATAGACTTCTAGGACAAACTCCTATTTCTCTCCTCTCTTTTTTTAACCAAGTAAATTATTCCACGCTCATCAGTGACAAATCATGTAATTTTCTAACAACATCATTAGTACACGGGTGACGGATCCTTTTATAACAATTAATAATTGAATTAGAAATTAATTATTAAATAACTCAATCATACCCACAGTATTCCTGTTTTCTCCTTTTTTTCTGTTTGAATCTTTCCCCCTCTTTTTATTGACTGCTAAAAAGAGCAAAGAATAAAAACAGAAGTACTTGAGCACATGTTTATTATATTTAAATTTGTATTATTTAAATTATATATTTTATAATAAATATTTGTTTAATATAAAATCAAATATTTAAAATCTATCTATATTGATTGAATTGCTATAGAAAAGTATCATTCAAAGATGAATCGAGGGTGATTGAGGCGATCGTTCCCCTAAAATTTTCTATCTTTAATGTCATTAAGGAGAAAAAAAAAGATATGTCAATTATCTTTTAACTACTTGCTCTATATATTTTTCACAAATATATTTTATTAGTATACTATAACCTTAATAAAATAATCTTTATATTAAACATAATAATTAAGAACCAATAAATTTAATAATATATAATATGCCAGAGTTACTCAAATATATATATGATGCCAGAAATACATATATCATCGTATTGCTCGTAACTTCTAACAGAGAAGAAGAATTTGCTCCTATATTTGAGATATTCACATGGATTACAAGCTGGTTTCCTGTAAAGATCCTTTTATTCACAATTTATCCGCTTTATGACTTTCAGCAGACGTGACATATAAATCCAACATTATCCGAACTTCGATAAGGCAATAATAATAATTGGGTAAACTATTCTGACGGTTTTATTTTGGACATATAAAGATACTTTTAATTTGGACGCTAAACTTTTAGAAGTTGCATTATACTCATTAGACTTTATTACGATCATTGTAATTAGCTATTGTTAATAAAAGTTTACCAAACACTTCAAAGCATTCTTCCGACCAAACCTTAATCTGTTACACTTAAATAAAAATTATTATATAATATTTTATAGGAAACATTATCTAATAACTTTTAATTAAATTTTAAGATATTATTTTTTGACAGATAGCTTTTTGTGTAAATATTGTGTTTTTCTCTCTTTATAAAGGTCTCTCGGCGGTTCTAAGTTCTCCATCTACTCTCGGTTGGCTTATACACTTTAGTTCTGAAATCCATTGGTTTATCTCTTTCTTCTAATCGCTTCTTCCATTCTTTATATTTCAGCATTATTTCCTGGTTTTAAGTGTATTTGCTTTTGTCTTTACGATTGGAGTAAAAAAGATCGATAATGCCGGCTGTAGGAGGAATTGGCCCCTGTAACGGGAAGGAGTAACCAGGAAATCTTAACCCATTCGTCACCGTAACATGTATTGTTGCAGCCATGGGGGTCTGATTTTCGGTTATGATATTGGGATTTCTGGCAATATTTCGAAGATAAAAAAACTCAAGTTTTCTTTGTTTGGTTCTCGTAGAAATCAATGTGTTTTTTTTAATCTTTTTTGTGGGGGTATTTAACAGGTGGGGTGACGACTATGGCTTAGTTTGTTTTCATTGTGCAACCTCTTCAAGCCTCTTATGTCTGCGCTGCGCAGACTACGCACAGACATTAAACTTCGCAAACCGTTTGTCTTTTAGAAGACATAAGCTCTTCTAACGTCTGCACGAACTCTTTTTGGTGCATACATGATTTTATGTCTTCAAAGGTCTTCAAACATCTTCAAGAACAATTATAAAATATGATTATTTATTAAAATAATTTTAAATAATTTAATAAGGTTATTTATTTTAAAATAATTTGTTTTAAAATAATTTTATAAAATATTTATTTAAATATTATTATAAATATGAATTGATTTATTTAGAAATATTTTAAAATTTATATGGATTGATTATTTTAAAATATGGATTGATTTATTTTAAATAATAGTGTTGATTTGTTTTTTTAAAATGATTGATTTATTTTAAATAATTTAGTAGTGATTAATTTATTTTTAAAATATGGATTGATTTATTATTGTAGTTGTATGGATTGATTTATTTTAAATAATTTATTAGTATAGATTGATTTATTTTAAAATATGGATTGATTTATTTTAAATAATTTATTAGTATGGATTGATTTATTTTAAATAATTTATTAGAATAGATTGATTTATTTTAAAATATGGATTGATTTATTATTGTAGATGTATGAATTGATTTATTTTAAATAATTTATTAGTATGGATTGATTTATTTTAAAATATGAATTGATTTGTTTTAAATAATTTATTAGCATAGATTGATTTATTATTGTAGTTGTATTAATTTATTTATTTTAAATAATTTATTAGTATGAATTGATTTATTTTAAAATATGGATTGATTTATTTTAAATAATTTATTATTGTAGTTGTATGGATTATTTAAATTTCAGTATTGTAAAACTAAAATTATTTAAATCTCAGTATTGCAAAACTCTTTTAAGTTTAAAAAATCAGTTTATTTATATTTCAGTTCATTTTAGCAGTCTGAAGACGTTAAAAAATAAACAATCTTCTTCTTGTAGACTGCAGACTTTTGTTCCACCTCTTCTGCTGTAGATGCATGCAATGTGATCCGCATACTGCAGACCTTTTACCTCTGAAAAACAAACACCACTCCATTCCTGCAAAAGTTCTTCCCAAAAGTGTGGGAGAAGAAGGAAGCTGATAAGTCGATGAATCAGTATTGTCAATACGATAGCCAAACCTTGACGATGTGAACATCGTCGCTCTATTTGGCTGCTCTGATTGCTTCCGTGGTAGCCGCCACCGTCACTCGTAAGCTCGGAAGGAAATTGTCTATGCTTTTCGGTGGTTGTCTCTTCTTTGTCCGAGCTCTTATCGATGGCTTTGCCAAAGCTGTTTGGATGTTGATTGTTGGTAGAATGTTGCTTGGTTTTGGTGTCGGGTTTGCCAATCAGGTAATGAACCTTTATCTTTGACGTCAAAAAGCTCTAGATATCACTTTTACGTTTGGATTTGCTTTCTTCCCTGTTTCGAGCAGAGATTCGTATGCCTAATTTTTGGGTTCTTGATACTTTCTTAAGTTCGAGTATTTTTTTATTTTTATTTTTTGTTTCATTGCAAGTCGTTCGTAGAGAATGAAGACATGTGCTGTTTGAAAATAGTGACAAAAGTTCATGTTTATTCCTTTTGCTTGTCGTGTAACTTGTCTCTTTGTTTTCTCTTCCTTGAAACCTTGCCCTTTTTCTCCAGATCTGTTTTGTTTTCTTCTTCTTGGTATTGTTCTGCGTATTAAAGGACCAGACAATGCTTTTGGTCTGGAAAATGACAATAAAACATGTCTTTACAAAGCTTGTTTCAGATCCAGACAAGCGCTTTCCTATTCTATTTGACTGCATAAAAAACTTCTGGGCTTTTTTTTACATGTTTTGACCTTTTTCTTCCCTGAAACTATACCAGTCTTCTTCAAGCTGTCTCTTGAAATTTGAGAGCCAGCAATAAATGTATTTTAAATAAATGATTTAATATGTTATTATTGTATCATTTCTATAATAAAAGAATATTTCAAAACATGTATATATAATTGTGCTTTCAAATATGTTTTTTTTCCCTCTACAAGCGTGACTTTGATATATTGAAAAGAAATAATTTCTTTTTTCTTACTCCAATATATTAAACATCGACTACTTGACAAAGCCATGTGGTCCCCGAGAATGACAATTTGTGCACTCCTTTGATGCCTGCCTTTCAGTTTACTAAGCAAATGGGTAATATTATAACTTTAATTTGGACTAATTTCTTTTTTTTTTTTTTGGATTGTAATTTTTACAGTCTGTGCCACTCTACCTCTCAGAAATGGCACCCTACAGATATAGAGGAGCATTGAACATTGGCTTCCAATTATCAATTACAATTTGTATCTTGATTGCCAACGTGTTGAACTATTTCTTCGCTAAGATCAAAGGTAGATGGGGCTGGCGCCTTAGTTTGGGTGGGGCAATGGTCCCTGCCCTTATCATCACAGTTGGATCCCTACTCCTCCCGGACACACCGAACTCCATGATCGAACGTGGTCCAACCGAGGAAGCCAAGACCAAACTCAAGAAAATTCGAGGGGTTGATGAAGTCAACGAGGAGTTTAAGGATCTTGTCGCTGCTAGTGATGCATCGAAGCTTGTTGATCACCCTTGGACTAACTTGTTGCAGAGGAAATACAGGCCTCATCTAACCATGGCCATCCTAATTCCCTTCTTCCAACAACTAACTGTCATCAATGTCATTATGTTTTATGCTCCGGTTTTGTTCAACACAATAGGTTTCCGAGATGATGCTTCCCTCATGTCAGCAGTGATCACTGGTATTGTTAACGTTGTTGCAACAACGGAGTTCAAATGTTAATTTGCCTGGTACTTGATTTTTCACGTGAAGTTGAAACCGTTACCGACAACATTATGTCCGTACTAATTTTTTGATGCATTTTCAGGCAGTGGTGGCGGCTTGTATTGGTGCTAAGTTCGGAACTAGTGGAAACCCTGGTCAATTGCCCCAGTGGCATGCCATTGTTGTGGTGCTCTTCATCTGCGTTTACGTAGCCGGATTCGCATGGTCTTGGGAACCCCTGGGATGGTTGGTGCCTAGTGAAATTTTTCCATTGGAAATTCGATCAGCTGCACAGAGTGTCAATGTGTCGGTCAACATGATCTTCACATTCGCCGTTGCTCAAGTGTTCTTATCCATGCTTTGCCACCTGAAATTCGGACTGTTCCTTTTCTTCGCCCTCTTCGTCTTGTTGATGTCCATCTTTATGTACTACTTCTTACCTGAGACGAGACGAAGGGCATACCGATAGAAGAGATGAACCAAGTCTGGAAATCTCACTGGTATTGGTCCCGATTCGTCGAAGACCATGATTACCCTAATGGAGGCAATGGTCCAAAGAATGTGTAACTCGAATCAACCAACTCACTTAATATTTTAAAATATAATTTGCTTTTTCTTTGTTTTGAAATTTAGGAAATTTAACATGTGACAGTCGTATATACTATCGGTTCTCAACGTCATTGGATCAAATATATAAATAAATTTTCAATTCATTTAAAGAGGACCCATCAACAGTTTACTGATAACAATTTTACGGTACAAATGATTTGGTGTGAAATATTTTTCTAATGGTAACGGCATTCACTAAAATTAGTCGATTGAAGAACTAGTGGCAAATGGCACAAATTTATCATAAAAAACTTAGTTATTATTACACAACGAAAGGAGAAAACACTTGAGATATCTACATCTTTATTTATTCCTACAGGAGAATCAATTACTACTTTCCGTGACAAATGTAAACTGAAAGCAATTTGGGCATGGATGCATTAACCTAGGAAGACAAAATTCTTTTGAAGAAATTACAAGGGATGTTTTTTTTTAAATTTGATCAGACCAAAAAGGACAATCACATGATTCTACACATATTGGACACTTTTTGTTTCCAGCTGAGATAGAAATTTTGATTATAAAAAAAAAAGATGAATTTAATTTTTGGATAAACTACACGAATAATCACTAAAGTTTGAGTAAATTTTTATTTTTCATTAAATTTTCAAAAGTTACAAATTAATCATTAATATTATCGATTTGTAATAAAATAGTCACTCAATGTTAATAGCCGTTAACCTCAGTGACCGAAAGTTGAGATGGATTGTTAACCATTTATCTGGCCCGTTGACTGCTTCCTTACTTGGCATGTTAACCGATCACCTTTTATGAAAGCTGAACATGCACTATCGTAAAGCCTCCACTACTATCACCATCTTCGTAGCACCACTACCTGTCACTTTCTATCTCGCCCTGCCATATCTTCCTATCCCTCCGACCTCCGCTTTCGTCCCCAAAACCTTTACACTTGGTAGAACGACTCAGATTCTTTCAACCATGCTATTAGAGAATATATAAACGAGCTCACTCATCAAACTCGACTCATTACCTCGATCCAAGGTGCCGTCGATTTATTTTCCGTTCTATTACCCAGCTGGGAATTCCTTGTTCTGGTTTTTAACGAAACCCCATTGACGTTGAGTCCCAGTGTTGGTGCTTTATATTCCCTTTTACCAAGAAATGTGACTTCAGAAAATTTCTCCAGGATGTTGCGGCCTGTTCGCAACTCTTTTGCACCAGGAGACAACTGATTGAGTCTGATTCCACCAAGAAACCATACAAAAGCAACTTCTTTTGTATCCAAGGGGACCTAAAAACATGACAACTACTGCTCCGTTCTTGTCTCTAAGCACCGCTCCACAATCAGCTCCATCCACATTAAAGTTTTATACTACAAAAAACTCACACCATGGGATTCCTAAAACATACCGCCCCAATTAGCTCGATTGATCAAGAAAGAAACACAGTCCTCAGGACTGTTCCACCAAGAAGATTCAACCACCGAGCTATCCCCTTTGATTGCCTTGACCTACAACATCGAGCTAACCTTCGTTAAAAAAAATTAGTTTATCGATGGACAGAGGTGGAACACAGTAAAGATTAGTGGGGGCACGACCCTCCTAAAATTTTAAAAATTTATAATTTAGACTTTAAAATTTTTCCAAAAAAAAACTATCCTCCATAAAAAATTTAAAAATTCATATTAAGCTTCAAAATTTTTTGAATGATCTTAATTAAATTTCTCTCATAATTTTTAAAAATTTTAATTAAACCTCTCAAAATTTCAAAAATTTTAGTTAGATCATAACATTTTTTTGCAAAAAATGTAAACTAAACTCTTTAATTTTCTTCAAAATTTTAATTTTAAAAATTTTAAACCTTTAAACTTTTTAAAATTTTAAGTTTCCCCAAACTCTATCACCAAATTCAGTCACTGTCAGTGGACCATGATTGTCGTAACCGTTTTTTCGGTTGAACAATCGTTTATTGTTTTAAAACAGTTATGACTTTTAATTTTGGAAAATTGTTGATTTTGAATTAATTTGGATTAAATTGGAAAGAGTCGCCATCGACCTTTGGGTTAGGTAGGTCGAATACATAAAAAAACATCTTTTAAAAATAATTTTAAGAGAAAAAAAATCATTTTTAAGACAAAAGTTGGTATGCGTTTACCAAAAATTTGATTAAAACGGGTTCGCGAGTTGGTTACGCGTGGGGAATGATTAGTACCCCCACAGCGCCCAAAATTGGTACTGTGTCGCTTACACGTTGTCGTAATGGTGGAAATCCTGAATTAAATATAAAGTTAAAATACGATCCATTTATTAAAGTATGACTAACTTGATTCGAATTGATCATTTAAAATATTCTTGAAATATATTTAAATAAATAACATTAAAATCAATAAAGTAATGCTTGCTAAAAATTTGAATAGTAAAATATATATGTATGAATATATAAGATTTTTAAAAAAAATATATAATATGTAACAAATAAATCAATCCACATAATAACATTAATACAATTGAAATTACTTTATATGCTTATAACAAAATCAAGTAAATTTATATTAATTATATATATATGCTAACATGATAATATATTTTATAAAGGAAACAAGGGATTATATTCACATAACCAAGCTTTAATATAATAAAAAAAATACCTACGCATGCACAATGAAAACATTTAAAAAAATAAATAAATAATTAAATAAGATAAAATAAGAATCCAAAGTCAAATATAAGATTTGAAACACGGTGGCAATGAATTAAGGATTTCAACGGGTAGGTTCAAAATTAAATCAATATCAATTATATATATATATATATATATATATATAAAATGGTTGTCCCTTTTTTCCATATATATGGGGTAAAGGGGAGGTAAGATAGTAGGCTACCCCCAACACCAGGTTGAGAGCAACTTCCGTAAGAGACCTCCGAATTATGAAATGCCCTCCGTATATAAAGCATGAAATATAAACATTAATAGATAAATGCAATAAATAAAAAGGCTTACATCCGAAATACATGAAATAAATATCATAAAATAAAATACTAAAATTAAACATATGAAAATGAAATAAAGCATGGAATTAAATAAAAGGGAAATATGACTAATTTGTAACAGGGACAAAATCAAAAGCAACATTCGAAAGTCAAAAACCTCTAAAAAGGGACTAACTTGTGAAAAAGTCTAAATTTGGGGATTAAAAAATGTGATTTTACCCTTGCTTTGGTGACTAAAATAATTATTAAGCTTATGGACTAGAATAAACTAATTGAAAATCTCGTTAGCAAAGTTGAACCTGGATAATAATAACAAATAAATAATAACGGGACTGAAATATAAAATCTTAAACATCTAAACTCAAAATAAAATAAAGTAGAATCCATTAAAGGTTTGAAAAATATGATTACAATAGAAGAGGGATCTAAAGTAGAGTTTACCCACCCGTAAAATTATGAACTGGTCCCCCTTCGAAACTACGTCGTTTCATGGAGAAGAAAGGCATGACCGCCGCTGGCGGAGCTCACAGCGGCGCACGGTGGCCGAGACCCAAGAATCATAAACCGAAACCTCTCAACCCCTCAACCAAGATCCACTCTCGTCTTATCCTAAAAACCTCTCTAGATCAATAGATCTATAAATTTACCTTTCGAAAAAACCGAGCTCCGACGACCTTTGGCTTTCTGACTATATGCCGACCAAGGTAAGTAATTTCACTCTCTTTTTTCTTTCGTTGTTTGGTTTTGAAATCCTCCTCTTGTTTTTTTTTCTGTTTCGTTCGAGACCTCCCCATTTTTTTCCAATTTCTCCTTGATTTATCCATGATATCTTCACTGAATCTCCATGGCTATATCTGAAATTTCGTTGCGTTTGGTATGAAAATGAAAGGTTTAGGTGAAATCATTAATTTTGTTTGACTTTGGTTGTTTGAAGTAGGTGATCTATCACTGTGGATGATTTGTGAAAATCGGCTCTGACGGTGGCTCGGCTCGACTGCAGCTTGTAGGTGGCTCATGTATCGGTGAAGGCTCGGGGCTCGGCTCACGTCTGGGAGTTGGTCTGCTACTGATGGGTTACTGAGTGGATCCGGTTCTTGGGCTTGAACTAGGTTGTAGCTTATAATTGGGCCACATTTGACCTGCACAAAAATATAAACACACTTAATAATAATAATAATAATAATTTAATAATATTCTTTAACCCGAACAAAAACTAATGTCTACAATGATCTCTTGTCAAAGATTACCGAGTTTCTCATCAACCAAATGGAGCACAAGGCAGCTGCATAAGCAACCCACCAAAGCTTGTTGATCTCACCAAAAACATATCACGCATAGAACTAAGAGAATCAACATCGATAAGTTCATCTTATACGAAAGTGGCAGCGATGGCAATCTCGAGAGAGTCATAAAAGAGCTCAACGAAGAAGGAGATTACAACATCGATAATATTTTTTGGGTTTGGCTTAAAACCCAAGAAGTTGGATTCTCTCACAATGCAATTTATTTAAAAGATTAATGTGCATGGATGATGTTTGTCGATGTCGACGAGTCAGGGGCGGAGCTTTGATGGTGCCCAAGAAGGCCCCAACCCCTATTAAAAACTTAGTATATTTGATATAATTCTGGTCTAATATTATTTTAACTCATATAAAAATAAATATTTAAATTAAAAAATATAAGATTTTTTAAAATATTAATCGAGTAGGGGTTGAACTAAAAAAATGATAACTTCGTGTTCTCAAATTTTTGGTCTAGTAACAATTTAAGTCATTGTAAGTTTAAATATTAGACAAATTAGGTGTTGTCTAGTGAATTTTTAGTTTTTATATATATAAAAATATGGGGTGAATACAATGTACTATATGTACAGACTCTCAACCATTTGACAATAAATGCTCATATC